CGCGGGTCGGGGGAGTCAGGGGTCGGGAGGGTTTTGCGGAAGCGGTCTCGCATTAGCGGTTAAACTGCTACTCAGTCAGTCCATTCGAAATCAATTCGAACTTGTTGATTCGTTTGAACCAATTCGAGTTAAGCAACTAATTCAGTACTGTAAATTGAGTAACGGATTAATCAGAACTCGTTAGAAAGCTCGAATTGCTTCCTTGATTTCAGTGACATTAACCTATATTAATTAGCATTAATTGAATCGAAGTATTGAATTCGAGCAGCCTAGTAAATGAGGAAAGGGCATGCCGTTACGATGGGCTTTTAAGGGGACACTATCAAATTCTTTCAAGATATCCGCCTCACAATGAATAGTTTAGCAGGTATCATGGGGTAAAAGGGGGACGCATGGGGACGCTTGTGATCTATTAGGGCAGCGGGATTACTGTCAACATTGTGGCTCAAATGCGCTGAGACTGCGGTATCAACACCCAGGCCTGAGCAGCCACAGGACTGTAGCGGCCGTGGCAGCTGCACAAAGAAGAGCTACAACGGCAATGAACCAAGGCAAGCCTCTCAGAGGATGCGAAAGCTGCCATACTACCTATGAGGGGCAGAGTGCCACTGGCTGCAATGAGGACCGACAAAAAATCATGCAGCAGTGCAGTGAGTGTCAGGAATACATTGAAGTCTTCTAGATATTTGGGCTTCGCTCAAGGGGGTTAATCAGGTCTTGCGCGCATTGCAAGCGGAGCTCTGCCGCGCACTACTGCCGAGAGGGCCCTCAGCACTGGCAGACCATACTCTATTGCACTGGAAGCTTCTCTCTACTCTTGATCATGTGAATCTCGCAGCCTCTGAAGCTCGTTGTGTCAGTGACTGCCTCTGGCCTGACTGGCTGTATACTGCACAGATAACTTGACGACGGTCAATATGTTTGGTAGATTGCCTAACTGTGCTTCATGCAAATGTAAGACGTTAGACTAGGCCTAGCCCGGCAAAAAGGCGTACACAACGAGGGGTTGGAGCTCCCGGGGCTCTCAGCGCTTGGCTCCATGAGGTGGAAGGGGTGCTCCAGCACACTTCGCAGCGGCACAGCCTTCGACTACCAACAGCATGCTTGAATACTTAAAACTTCAAACGCACAGCGACTGCCTTGCCCTCCAAATGCTGCATCGCCAAAGAGCCACCTCGAGGATTCGCGCACCATGCACAACCCGGGCATCAAGAAATGCTGCGGTGAGTGTAAGCTGCCCTTAAGTAGTTTGACAATCCCCACCCCCTTAGGGTGGGGGGGGGTCCAAATTGTAATTTACAATTTCCACTCTCCCGATCGGCCACACAACTATAATTGTAAAATAATTTGGTTCCACGGAGTCAAGCACAGAGAATAATAATTGTAAAAAATAGCTTCCACATGCCCTCACATGCTCAAATGCTCTCACATACTCTCACTTGCACGCGCATGCCCTGGGCAAGCTCAAGCAGCATCAAGCAACATGTCACGCAGGATCACGCAGGTACACTCTGAGACATTTTTTTTCACTCCAGAGGCAGCCACGGTGCGCTTAGCTGGTCTACCTTGTGCACGAACGCCTTGAGCCTCTTAAGGCCAAGGTTTTTGTCGGGTAAAAGCGAGTGGAGTTGACCGAGGACCTGTTTGCTGTACACGCTCGGGGATTGGCCGCCCAACAAGACGTCAAAGAGCCCGTGCGTTCTTGCGGCCACCTCGCTCCACTTGATGGTCTTGGTATCCATTTTAAAGAGACCGTCTCCATCCACTATAGGCATGCTATGCCGGCTGTACAACTGTGGCAATTTGAGCATGAAAATTGGTATGTGCTTAGCACCGGATGTTGGAGTCAGGTGCTTGGCCGTCAGGCCTTCTAGGGAAACAGTCGCCAAGCTTGAGGGCTTCGTCTCCAAGTTCACGGCTTTGTCGGCCCAGACCTTGCTCGCCACGAACTTGGCTCTCTGCGCCACGGCCTTGTCAGGGTGGTTTGGGAGTGTTATGGAGTGTTTGGGGCGGGCACTCAGGGGGCTAACATGGGCTAACCCGCAAAAGGAGCAAAACAAAAAAAACTTCGGAAAACATTAGGCATCTTTAAAAACTGTCAAAGCAAAGTTTACACAAAGGCCAGTCACTTCCGGGGAAAACTTGAAGATGGTCTTGTCCGGCATTGTCTGGATGCTCACGGGCTTCCACTGCGCCACAGCCAGGGTTGGATCCAGGAGGAGTACAGGGTTCAAGGCGCTCGCCACCCAGTAGTGCTCGTGGGACTGCACCAGCTGCAGCACACTCTTGCAGTCTTGCACATCGCCACTGGCAGCGGGCTTGCGCTTGGCCGGGCGACTTTCAGGCGCCTTGTTCCGGAGGCATCCAGGACGGCCGCCCTATACACGCACATGACCAGCCCCTCGGCAACAGTGCCATCGTCCAGTAGGTACAGTAGCACCTGGGGCTGTGAGTGGCTTCCAAAGTGCGTGATGGCTTGCAGAGGCCCGTCGGCAGAGTCGCTAGTTGACAGCTGGCTGTGCACGCGCTGCTGCAGACTGGTCCACTGCGCCGCACGGCTTTGCCTTTGCCCGCCCTGGAGCGCTGAAGCCTGCCGGGCAAGTGCCAGATCATGCTGGATGCAATTCCAAGTGCTCTCCTTGGAAGTGCATCCAGACAAGATCATAGCTGGGGAGAGGCCGCAGAACTCCTTCAGCGGCTCCCTAATGGCTGCCATGCGCTGGACCAAGCACGCCAGAGCCGACTCCTCGCTGGGCACGGCCTGCAGGGCTGGCAGGCCCCGCACCCTGGCCATGAGGCCCAGCGCGTTGAGCGTGCCCGCCGCAGGCAGCGCCGCGATCTGGCCGCCGCTGCCGGTGACCATCTCGGTCGGCGCATCTGCGGGCGCCACAGCTGCCTCGGCGCCAGCATCCTGTGGCAGCAGGCTTTCGCGGCATCGCTGAACTTCCTGGCGGACTTTCACATGGTCCTCGCACGACTGCAAAGCCTGTGCTGCGGCCAGCTCTTGATCCTCGGAGGCGACCTGGTCCTCTTTCAGAAGCTCCTTGCCACTCCTCGGCTTCGAGCATGGGCACCTCCTCATCCTCCGCGTCTTCCTGCTACTCGCGCAATACTCGGAGGTCCGTTGTACTTATAACCTACTTAGATCTACTTAGTAATTGTAGCTGTAACTTAATTATAAGTCCCATAACTACAGCTACCCTAAATATATTTGGGTTATAGATGGTTATAGCTCCAGTTGCTAAGTAGGTTATAACTACAATGGACCTCCAAGTAGAAAATCAAAGAACAAAGACACGGAAGAGCTTGAAAAAAAATGAGAGCTAGTCAAGGGCAAATTTTGGATGCAGCATGATGTAGCACGAAACGCTGAACACAGACTACCATCCGCTATCCGAGTCCTCATCCCAGCCAGCGGCAAGGCGGTTGATGGTCAGGAATGCCTGGCCCTCTAGGCCGTACCAGTGGGTCAGGTCGTGGCGGATGCTTCCGGCAGTTCGGCCAGTCGAAAGCACGCTCGGAAGGCGCAAGCTTGCCGAAGGCACTCCTCGGAGAGCGCGGCGGCCTCCGAGAGATCCACAGGCTTCTGCTCCGGAACGTTTGGCCAGTTGTAGCTCCGGGACTGCTTCAGGACCTTGAGGTTGTGCAGCTGGTTGGAGAACACAGCGTCCCGCAAACAGGGCTGACCTCGCCAGGCGGCCTTCACGCTGCTGAAGTGCGTCTCGGCGAAGCGCTCCTGCCGGGAAGCCAGCCGCCAGGGCACACCACGGCACGTAAAGATGCACGATTGCATCGCGTGTGCCATGCAGTGAAGGCAGTTCCTGAGAGTCTGTGGCGGGAGACAATGCTGTCGCCAGTTTCCCCGCGCAGACGCTTGCCCTCCGCCATGTGGAGCAAGAGGAGGTAGTATGCCAGGGTGGCATTGGCGAATGTGTCGGCCGGCGAGAGCTCGCAGTTCCACGCACTACTCAAGAGGCAGCCGATGAAGGAGTACAGCACCAGGCCATCGGTGCTCCAGTCCTCGCTGAGGTATGCTTGGCAGAGGCGCTGGTTGCTGGCACGATCTGATTGCGGGTCTCGGCAAGTGAAGGCGCTGATGGGCAAGCCCTTGGAGTACATGGCCATGAAATCGCAAGCAAACCTCAGCAGAAGCGACCCATGTTGTCTTAAGCCCTGAACTTTACTGAACTTCAGCCCCGAATCCCAGCAAAGCCTAAGCTAGAAACCAGATGAAACCGGAAAGAAAACAGGACAAATGCAACCACAGCTCGCTCCATGAAAGATCGTCCTGGTTCCGCTGATGTGCTGGAGGGTGTAGTTCTTCAGGACATGATGGCAGTCGAGACACCCACCCATCCACCACTGGCCGTACTTCAGAACCCTGAAGGGGAACAGCTTGATCTCCGTGAGCGCCCGCTTCTTGCAGCGTTCGAAGAACTGGATGCCGTCCAACTCCTCGGTATCCAGTAGGCCCAGCAGCGCCAGATTCGCAAGGGAGTTGCTGGAGCCGCCGTCGAAGCCGGGTGGCACTTTGGATCCAGTGCTGGCAAAGGAGTGCAGGGCTTGTCCCAGAAGGGACAAGAAGAAGTCGGCTTTCTGCTGGCCTGGCCCCTGGTACAGAGGGATGAGGTTCATGTCCACCGTGAAGTGGTTCGTGTCGCGCCGACTTACCACAATCGACAGGGACAGCTTGCTCAGGAGGCTATCCTTGCGCTCATCACTTGGGCTGAGGATGCTGGAGTTGTTCTCTGAGTTGAGTCCGCCTCCAAGTATACTGTACCGCTCGACCTCTGGCCGGAAATCAGCAATGGCTTCCCAGCCAGGTCGCCAAATAGTTTCATCGATGGCCAAGCATAGGAGCCGCTGATCGCCATGGCAGTTCAGCATCTTGCGGATCAGGTTGCAGGACTCCTGCTGAGTTGTTGGGCTCGTGTGCGTGCAGAAGAATCTGGGCGTTAATGGGTCACGGAAGTCGATCTTCGGATGGCCACCTGTCGGGAGGCGGGCGTGGTCAGGGTTTAGGTTAGGCGTGGTTAGGCTTTGGGGTTGTTCAGGGCATGGGGCTTAGGGCTTACGTGGGCCTATAGGGTTTAGATTGGCTTAGATATACAACATACTACAACATACTACAACAGTCTACAACACACACGCACCAACATGTGAAGCAGTGATCGCCTTTGCCCTTCACGTGGAACATCTTTAGCGCTTCCAGAGACTCGGAAGAACGGCCCAGGGTCGATGCCAGCTCCAATCGGACTTCTCCACTGATGGCCCTGCCAGGCCTAGACACGCATCCCCTCTCCAGGCGCCGCTCGGCAAAGACAAAACTTCAAAAGAGCGCTTGAACGGCTGTATGCTGCTGCAGCCCACCTGCAGCGACCCAAGCAGCAAGGGTCAGGTCCTCCTGCTCTTGCCCCAGGCTGGAGCACAGTGCCTCATAAGCGCTAGCCTCATTGTCGTTGCAGGCCATCAACTGCAGGCCCCGGATATTCTTCTCGAGGAAGCTCTGCAGCTTGGCCCCCACGTTGCGGACAGGGTGGCAGACCCACTGGCGAAAGCAGTGGTCGTGAAGCGCCTCGACACCGAGCTTGTCGTACAGCTCTACGCAGCGGGAGACCTCATCGTGGCACTTCTTGCTCCAAGACGCGTACTCCCTGGCGTCCATGGCCTCAAGGTGGCGCCCAACCTGGGATCTCCGATACACAGCAACTAGCCTGGTCGAGCCTTCGGGCCCAGTTGCAGATGCATTCCAGCACTGGAGGCTGAGGCACAAGTTGCAGAGTCCACCCGGCAACTGAGCTGAGCTGCATTTCTTGTGCTTCAACGTGGCCTGGCCGTCCTGAAGGATCACCGACACGTTCAGAAGCGCGCCAGTTGTCTCGCTCTCGAACTGGAGGCAGTCGTTGGCAATCCACTCTCGGATCGCGTCCTTGAGACGGCCTATGTTGCCAGTTGCAGTGTCCAGGGAAATGCCTGCGCAGCCTTTTGTGTCCAGAGCAACCACCGCTGCCGCAGCCTCCGGCGCCGTGGGCAGCGCTGCAAGCGCGCGAGCGTGCAGCTGCTTCTTCTCGTGGGAGGTGACAAAGGCCGTGGCTGAGAGGCTTTCTCTCACGAACCCCACTTCTTCGTTGCAGAGCAGGCACCAGTAACGACACCCCGTAATGTGCCTGTAGA